ATCATGTTGTAAAAGTTTCCTGAATAGTTTTAGAAAGGTCATGGCCGATTTCAGTGAAAAGTAACTGTGAAATGTACATGTTATTTAATTAATAATTTATCTAAAGTTTGTTATTATTATTCAGGCATCTTCTTTAGTATAACAAACAAAAAATTGATTTTACTTATTACCCTCCCACATAATGTTTGGATGGGGATTTTGGTTAATTGCATTTATGAAGTGTCTAATTTCTCTGAAAACAGCTCATTTTAGGCTGTATATTCTTAGCAGATGACTGAGAGTTTAATCCACTATATACAGTGTTATAATGAGTGGAACAGTCTCAGTGGTTACACAACAACCACAACACGAGGAAAACCCTTTTCTAAGCCACTTAAGACAAGTACAGCTGTGAGAGAGGACAATAAAGGACAGTAATGTACTGGCGACGGGCATGGAGCTATTCTTTAGAGCTGTATAAAATTGCTTGCCTAGACTATGATATATCTTTATTTTTTCCCAGCTGAATATCAGTTCCCAGGTTGACAAATGAGAAAAGTTGTCACAAAAATGAATGATTCTGATTGCATACTCTTGCGCTTGAGGCGCACTGTACCTATGGGGATTACACTGATATATGTACAAAACATAGACAAATATCATTCCAGGCAATCGAAATGCCAGGTTACAGACAGGAAATCATTGCTACTTTATCCCCACAGGGTACAACTAGGGATGTCGAGATCATTAATAACGGATATTGCATGATTTTGTACAATTCAATCTATAGTGCGGTAAATGCAGTAATCCTGAATGTAAAAATATTTTACATCAACATAGCATTGTAATTTCAGAGTTTGTTTTATCTAATAAATCAGGTAACATCAAGACAATAAATGAAGATGATATATCCAAATTGTGTCATACATCCATTGCCTGACTTTGCAATAAGGTGCTTAAATACCAGTTTAAAAGTGTTACTTTTTTATTTTGGGGAACTTGCATTAATTGCTTGTCGGAAATAACTTACTTTCATGGGAAGTATAAAAAAGACTGAGACGCCAGAGCACACCAGCTCCAAGCGGACTGAGCTGAGTAGACTGAAAGGAACTGGACTATAGCAGTGCAGACAATTTCACAGGGTCTGAAGGGTTCCCTGTCCCTGGGTCCTATTTTGACAGGGAAAAGGTTTTTCCTGTGTTTAAATTCCATCCACATGCCTCTTCTATACACCCTACTTTTAAGTAGCTGAGAAAGTAATCTTATATACAGTATATAGCACCTTTCACAGACATGCAACACAGTGATGGGAGCGAGTTTGCCATACAGAAGGAATATACCCTATTTTACACTTTTTTAGTGGTAGGGAAAACCGTACTACCCAGAGGAAACCTATGCAGACACATGAGAGAACATGCAAACTCCACACAAGGATCTCCAATCTTTGCAAGCATTGAGAAAGGGCCATCCTGAGGAGGATGTTGTCGAGGAAGTGGTTATAATGGTGGGGGTCACACGTGTCGTGACATAAAGTCCCACTACACCTACTGGCCGTGTGCTAAAACTACATTGTTTATCATCTTTGTGCAGAACCTTAGCACTTCAAATTTCATTTTGGCAAAACGGTTTTGCACCGCCCCCGCAGCATCTCTGTCTAAACGGGGCCTTAGCTACCGCCACCAAGGTCTAGGCCCTGGGAGATGTCATCTCATAATCTAAGATAAGATAAGCTTTGTCCCAAAGTGGGAAAATTTGAGAGCCTCTGTTTTCATTTCCCCTTCTGTATTGATATCATGCAGTGCTCTTCTAGGGGCAGCAATGACAACAACATGCAATAAATGTAATTCTTACATATAATATCTGCTGTAGTACTAATTCAAGTAGTGATGGATTCCTGTCCAACCAATAAAAACAATTCCAACAACCCCATAGCTTGAGTCTGTCCAGATGTAAACTATTTGAGTTTAAATTGCACACAATGCCATTAAAAAATGTTTCCCCACAGCTGTTTCATTGCATCAAATGAGATAAAGTCCACTGACCGCACTCCACTGGTCAACAGGGCGTTCTCGCTCTGAACCTCTGTTTTTTCTCTTGATCTTCACTGTCATTAAAGTCCTGGGTGCCCAAAAGCAGCAGCATGACTAAGTAAGACCTCATGCATCATGGCATATACAGTATACCTATAAAGCTGTCACCAAAACACAGAGTTTCCAAGACAACTGAAGATGAATGAAAATAGAACAATCACATGAGCTTTTGCTGTATAGCCACAAGTAAAATATGGCAGATGTCAGTCAGAGTTGTCACCGCCGTCACCCCCAAAACAAAAGGCTAAACACAAGCGACTTCTGATGACAGCATTTCCTTTGGCTCCGGCCTGTGGGTGGTGCAGGCGTGACCGCACAGAGCACCCATGGGAGAGCGAACTGTATATCCAACTATACACGCCCGCAAATGGTTCTAATAACAGGGAGGCTATTTCAGCTTCTGTGGATGGAAAGGGAAAAAGACACCAGTAATTTTCTCCTTAATATTACAATCCGGAGTAGCCATTTGAGGCCATTTTGTACCTGATAGCAGACAGGTAACTAAATGATAAATGATAGATAGTTATTAGGTTACAAGATGACGTGACCTTAGTTCACACCTGCCTCTCCCTTGTCAAGCACATGTCTTTAGGCAATCTTTGCCCTATTTTTCGGCAACCAATACTATTTCATCTTGGACGAATGCTCATGGTTTGACGTTATATTAATCGCTTCTGCACGTGTTAACAAAGTAGGTCCAAATCACCCACGAGACACTTTATTTTTCTGTAACAGGCAGAGCTCTGCATTCATTCACTTTGTAATTACCTTGTGCTCAGTGTGACAGCGTCTGGGCCGTGGCCAGGCCTCACACACGTCATCCACTTTCAGCAAAAGGTTCGCTTCTCGTCCTGATAAGCAGTAGAGACGGCTGAATGCACAAGAATGCATTGGCTCCATGAGGATATCAATCAGGACTTACAGAGGGAAAGTTTAGATCAAAATAATGTCAAATGTATCTAATGACATGAAGGTTTGCACGTGAGATAAAACATCCTTCTGATGGAAAGAGCAATAGGTCAAGATGAAATATCATCTTTACCTGAAACATTTGCAATTAATTTAATTTCATGTACATTGTTATTGGGCTTTTCTTAACAAACAAAACAATATGCACAATATTTATGTCTACAACGGGCATGCAAATTATCCAATCAGAGAGCAGAATGAGACGCTCATTTTGGTTTCCAGTTAGTTTGTTACCTGAAATGTAGTGTGTGTGTGTTAAGTTGTGTTGTATGATTGAGAAGATTTTAACTACATAAGCAGATACTGTACATACAGTTGAAAATCACTACTATACTACTGTGTCAAAAGAACTTTTTGTACATTGTTGAGATTTATGGTAACACCTAAGCTGCAAAGTGTTGGAGGGGTTAAATAATACCAGCAAAAAATGTCTCCGAATGGTTCCAGTTAAGAACACAGTCTTAGTTCAGACTGCAGCCAAGAAAAAAGGTGACTTCCAAATACAAGCACATTTACTTTTATGAGCACCTGCTGGATTTACAGCCAACTGCGTCAAGTGAGTGGCCCTCTTAAAGAGATTTACTATTCACACTTTATTCTAAGTGTTTGCCACAGCAGTGAGTCTGGAAAGTGGGTAGAGTTATCAAACTAAAATCTAGAATTTAAAAAAAGGAAAAGTAGTTGGTGAAGAGAGGAGAGTAGTGAGAGCTCGTGGGGTATTATGAAGATGGTTGTGTGGGTCACCTATTGTTGGTACTTTGTTCTAATAAGGAGCAGATGAGGGATGAATGTTTAACCTGGGATTTCAACTTACCCCAGCTCTCTTTAGAACAGAGATGATGATTAAAGGGTGGGAACAGAGGCAGAGGAGGTTACTCACAGTAACACTCGCAGCTGCCCAGAATTATTATACTTTTCCACTATGCAAGTTGAGTGTGAAAAAAAAATGCATATCTATTTCAAAAATGATAATATGACAATACTATTTAATATACATATACTGTACATTTCTAACATTTTAACCTCATAAATAGTCCCATAGTTTTCTAAACACTCACTTTTATCAAAATATCTCCTTTCAACTGTCTCTAAATACAAGTGTATATTTTATTGTCTTATATGTAGTTGTTCTGTCATGTTGTGTATTGTGACTGCCTTCTTTTATGCCCTGAGTCGGTTCCTGTCTGACTGTTTTTACATCTTTGTACTTATATTACGCTGACTGTGCAGCACTTTGAAGTGCTCTATAAAGTCCTTGATATATAAATTCACTACATATATGAGTTTTTCTTCCATGTTTAAGGCATTATTGTCAATTTTCCAAATGAAACGGTTATATTTGAAGAATAATACCCAATATTGAACGGCCCGGGTAAATTGTACATCTTTCTAAAAAGAAGATTTCTTCACTGACAGACTTCAGGAGTGATGAGCACTCCATCTGGCTTTGCAAATGTAGATATAAAAATCAGGAGACAGATAACTGAGCTCATATCTAGGACAAATACCGGGCCAGTGAGCAGCTGTAAATGTTCAAGGGATTCTGCGCTGGTCAATAAAGTTTTAAAGTTTTTTTTAAAGTTTTTAAAAAGTTATATGAAAGTCACAAGTGCAGTTTGAATATTAACACATGCACATACAGATATAACATGTATTTAGTGCCATGGAAACAACATAATCTTTTAATTATGGTAATAACACGTACATTTATTAGCACCAATAAATCCGGCAGTACGTTCTCTGGTGCAAATAGGAAAAGTGGGTGGAAATGTGATGCAATTTCCAAATTACTATGCTGGAGGACACCTGGAGGGTCCACAACAAACAGGATTTATGACGTTTTATTTATGTTTCTGCTGCACCACCTCTGTTTTGGCACAAATTATTTTCACAGTGCTTTGTTCATAAGTACATGAATGTGTATGCATGATAAATCACAATGCTACACACGTAAACACGCACCTGAAGCTCACTGAGATTTGATAGGGATGCTTGCAAAGAGGCAAATTCTTCAAGGGGAAGTAGAAGTCTGATCTGGGAGTCAATGTCATGAAGGTGCTGGAGATCCGGAGGCTCTGGCGTGTATCCCACTCCGCTTGAGACTGACACGGCCCATAAGTCATCCTACCAAATACACAGCCTTAATACAAATCTCACAATATGTTTTCTCCTACCTAACACATATCCATAATACCACACAGTATAACTGAGAACAAACAATTGAAATGTTATACATTCTAACATATCAGATATCAGAGTTCAGAAAAATGCATTCTTTAGTGATCAAGAATAGAGCTTCTGATTGATAATCTTAAGTGGCCACAGAAGAGTTTGAAGCATGCTGAAGCATACTCGGATGTATATACTGTAGAGTAATAGCATTATCTGAGGTCAATTTTGGACATAAAAACATCTTAAATGCCAGTAACAATTACAGACATATAAATTCTTAAGGCAAACACCGTTAGTTAAGTTGTCAGACTGTCATGCTAAATAGATAATATACAGGTGAAACTCCATCCATCCATCCATCCATCCATTTTCTTCCGTTTTATCCGTTGCCGGGTCGCGGGGGCAGCAGTCTAAGCAGAGACGCCCAGACTTCCCTATCCACACACACTTCCTCCAGCTCATCCGGGGCGACCCCAAGGCGTTCCCAGGCCAGCTGAGAGACATAGTCCCTCCAGCGTGTCCTAGGTCTTCCGCAGGGCCTCCTCCCGGTGGGACGTGCCCGGAACACCTCCCCAGGGAGGCGTCCAGGAGGCATCCGGAACAGATGCCCGAGCCACCTCAACTGGTTCCTCTCGACGTGGAGAAGCAGCGGCTCTACTCCAAGCTCCTCCCGTGTGACTGAGCTCCTCACCCTATCTCTAAGGGAGCGCCCAGCCACTCTGCGGAGGAAGCTCATTTCGACCGCTAGTATCCGCGATCTCGTTCTTTCGGTCCTTACCCAAAGCTCATGACCATAGGTGAGGGAGGGAACGAAGATTGACCGGTAAATCGAGAGCTTTGCCTTTCGGCTCTGCTCCCTCTTTACCACAACGGTCCGATGCAGCGACCGCATCACTGCGCACGCTGCACCGATCCGCCTGTCAATCTCACGCTCCATTCTTCCCTCACTCGTGAACAAGACCCCGAACAGGTGAAACTCGGAAAATTAAAATATTGTTCAAAGGTTTATGTTTTTTTGCAATTTAATTAAAAATGTTAAACCAATATATGATGTAGATTCATTACATGTAAAGTGGCGTAACTAAACCTCTAATTTGATGATTATGGCTTAAAGGTTTAGATTATGGGTCTTTTATATTTTCACAAAATGTGAGCCGTTTCTCAACATTCTTTTTTCTTTTTTTTATAAATGCTTTATGTATCTCACCTCTCATCTAATTGCATGCGTCATATATTCACATTGTCAGTTGCATGACAGAAAATGGACTTGAGAACAATATTCTAATTTCCAGAGTTTCTCCTGTGTACTTTTGAGCAAAAAATGAAAAAAATTTCAGTAGACGTATATGGGTCAATGTTTTCTCTAGGGAACTATCCTCAAACTCAAAAAACAAGGGATTTATAAATGGAATTTGACTTCTGAATTCACTAAAATCCACAGAGGGAGCTGTTATGAATTCACAAATAGTAAAACAAATCTATAACATGCTACATTCCATTGGAACGCGATGCATATGGGAAGAGACATCTGGCCGACGGTATGAAATGCTTTTGAGAATCAGAATCATCTGCCCAATGTCTGCCTGAACTGCCAAAGAAACGTCAAAACATAGATATCCAACTATACTTACTACTTGGGCTGGCGAGAAGGGCCAGTTTTGTTAAGTAATAAGACTGAAGAAGAAAACAAATGAAGAAAATGTGAAGTCTCAAGGTGTGGAGTCTCAAAATAAACATGAAACAAAGCCAATTCTGCAAATGGTATTAGCATTCATGGCTGATATGAAAGTGGTTCAAATGCAAGGTAATTTATTATCAATCTACCTCTGCATCTGCGGGACAGTCCTCCACTTGGTCTATTTCTCGAAGGAGCTCATCCAGACGCTCTTTCTCTGGTTGAGTTAAAACATCTTGGCCTTTGCTTATCAGCTGTTGCAGTTAGATCCAATAGAGAGAGAAGGGAAACATTGTTTATGTGCTCTTCTACAAGACCATGATGGCCTGATGTGAACTTTGACAGACCTCAATGTTTTTTTTTACAAAGTCCTTGTGTTTTTTCTTGCTTTTGGAAACATCACAGCAGCTCCTCTCTTGAAAAAACACTTGCTCAGACTCCTCAAATTGTGCTTCAGGTGACTCTACAATCTCTGCAGAAATATTACTCCCTGTCAACATAAATATACAAAACTTGAGAGCAAAGCAAAGACAGTTTTGGTCAATGGGAAAGTCACTTTTGATGGACCACACTGCTCTCCAGTGGTCTATTTAATGTACTACACGACTTACTTGAATTTACATAACTTTCATCCTCACAACCAGGTGCCTCAGTTTCAAAAACGGGTAGAAAGTCCAGCGCGTCTTGGTGCACTTTAAAGAAAGGAAACGTGGTTGTGGAGTGCAGAGCGTGACTGAACTCATTTTAAATCAACAAATCTAATACCTTTTGCAGAGTTAGCATCAAGAGCCAAAAAGGACCGTGTATTAAATGCTTCATGGGCACATTGAGAGCGCCCTTTTGGTGTATCCTGCTGATCATACACAAGAATCAAAGGTGTAATAGAGCAAAGTAATTAAGTCTAATTACCAAAGACCTGTAGGCCTATTTATGATATTTTATTCACTTTTACCATACAGTCAATAGTCAGTTTTGTGTCTAAGGATGTAAAATCCAAATTACAAAACACATAATCTATGATGCTTTATTGTTTTATCTATGGATTTTTTTTCAATATTTTTGTCTCTTGTATTATTATAAGACTTGGACCGTACGCGCGCTCTGATTGGCTGATTACGGTCTGATAGTTTCCCATCTCGGACCGTTACCATGACAATTGGTCCAAACAGCGCGTATCACGTTTGATATCTTTCCTCGGTCTGTACAGAGAAATATCAGACCTTGGCCTTTTTGCACAGAATATTAAGGCCGCGGTCTGATATTTCTCCATACAGACCTCGCGCTCGGTTAATAACCCGTTAATATCGTAGAATGTGTAACATTTTGTGAACAAATCAAACCATAACATGCTATCTTGATGTTATCAGAAAACATGTTGCATACTTTTAAGAAAGAGCCCTGTGAGTCATTATTTGATGAGAACTGATAGGCTGAGGGCAGACTGATTGGCTGAGGGTGAAGGTGGTCCTCTCTTTTTTTTCTGTCTGAAAACTTTAGGCCAAAGAGAGTGAGATGGAATGTATTTGTTACATTTGTTGAACTAACGCTGAAGCTACATGTTCAATTGGAGATTTCAATGGGTCCCATATAAAATACATGTGTTTATTGTATGATACTTACCATTAGTTCTTGCCAAAGTTGATCTTTGCGGTCCTTTCTCAGTCGCTTGGCTTCTTGACTTTGAAACGTCTTAAGTGACAGAATTTGATCAAGTCTCTTCATTTCCTCGATAGCCTTTTGTAGTTTTACATCCCCTTCTGACACCTCATCATCATCAAGCTTGTTTGTGACACAGTCTTACATAAAATAAACAACTCGATAAATAAGTTAAATAGATGAAATAACTACAACGTTATATTTATATAGTTATATTATAATTTCGGTTTTCATTTAACCACACTCACCGCCCTCAGGTGTGACATCAATGGCAATCTAGACAGAGTGAGGGAATATGAAGCAGCTATATAAATCAAGATACAATGAAATATTAATCTAATTCGAGACTATTGCAAAGTACCTGGTTATAATTAGTCAAAACATGGAGACACTGTGACGTATTACTGCTTGGGGAAGACATTCTTTCACTGCGAGACAAGGAAACGCATGATGCTCTGCTACTTGCTCTTTCGCCGCTTGCAGGACGAGAAATGTTGTCTACTGGTCCTCTAAATAAGTCCATATTTTAGGTTGGTGCAATCTATTGAATAGCCTCGACTCTGGTGAACATAACTCGTGTGTGTGTTTGGTGTATCTATGGGAGCCAAGTGTCCCGGATGTTGTAACTATGGAAATGTGCGCGTGCTGGTGCAGCGCAGTTCAGCGTAAGCAACTCGCGTTAGCTTTGGGAAAGGGCTGGCTAGCTAGGGGTTAGCTATAGCAGCATTTTCGCTCGCTATGGCCAGTGATGGCACTTATTTCAGCTAGAAACACTGAATACCCATCGATGTGGTGAAATAACAGTGATACATGTACAGTTGCACCTAAAGTAGACTGGAGGATTCCGTGGCTGTGTTTCTGTGGTATGTAATGTATCGTAGTAAGACTTGGCTAAGCTTCGATGCTAATGAAGCTACTATTGATATATTGACAGTGATATACTGCCAGTGTATCAATGTTATCCGTTAAAACGTTATTTTGATAATTATATGCAGCTGCGGTCGACTGCCCGACCCACTGCTACCATACAATGTTAATTATTATACTTTTTGTTTTTTGTGTCACTACAACGTCAAACGCTGTTTTCCTTTTGTGTAGGTGCAAACGTACCGATTGTATTTTACTGATACAACAGTGATAGGGAATCAAGATATTGACTAAACGTTGACAATGACACATCCATTCCACAGTTATATCTATGTAATAGTCACTTCAGTCTGCAATATCTGCGCATAGGTGCAGCACGTTTGCCTTGCTGCTGTAATGTTATTTCCTATGATGATTGATGTATTGTTTCTGATTCTAGGTCTTTACGGGAAGATGTGCAATGGAATGACACATCTAACTTCCAAAGCCTGTGGGGCATGCCCCTCACTAAATGGTCTATCCTTCTTCCTGTTAGTGACCACAGTGTCAACCGGGGATGGATTAGGTAATACACTTTTTGTTGTGAAATAATGTGAATTGAGGCTAATGAGACGGCAGTATTGTCAGCCATTGTTACAATTCTTTGAAATGTTTGAAATGTGTTATTATTTTATTAATTTGTCTATCTTTTTGATCAAGGGTGTGTGAGGCCATATATGGTTCAAAACAGTTGGGTAAACCTCACAGAAAGCAACAGGGGTTTATTCCCTGTTGGGACAGTGCTCCAGTACAGCTGTGACCCTGGTTACCAACCCGATGGTCCCAGCATCCTCTCTTGCACAACATATGGACACTGGTCTTCTGAACCTCCTCGCTGTATACGCAGTGATAGTAAGACAAATTATCAACTCAGTTCTTTATCTCACCCTTTCCCATCAATTATACATGGGTTTCAGAATACTAATGATTAGGACAGAGACATAGAATGGGATTATTAACCCACAAATGTTAAAACTATAAGACAATGAATATTAAATAGATGGACTGTGTTGACTAGTGTACTGAATACATATTGATTGCCAACAATGATGATAGCATTACTTTATGAATAGTTCTTTAGACAAAATAAATAATGTACCCAGCTCATTAATTTGCAATATGAATTAAAAAATTAAAACATTTCTCTTTCACCTTAGTGTGTCGACCTATTTCTGAACCTGAGAATGGGGGATATATCTGCCATCCATCTCCATGCCGAATGTTTTCCCATGGCACAGTAATTGAATTCTTCTGTGATGAAGGCTTCATTCTCAAAGGAGATTATAAGTATCTGGCTTGTCAGGATGGACTGTGGGATGGGCCAGCACATATCAACTGTGTGAGCCAAGGTACGGTGACTGAGAATACTGATCTATAACAACATAAATGGTTCGGCTGTGTAATGTAAATTAATGTGTTTTTTTTAGGCTGCATAAGACCCTTTTTGGTGCCTCATGGATCAACTAATCTGACAGAAAGCAACAGAGGCTCCTTTCCTGTTGGTACAGTGTTAGACTACCAGTGTGACCCTGGATACCAGGCAGATGGTCCCAGTATCCTCACCTGCACATCCCTCAAGCAGTGGTCTTCTGATCCACCTAGATGCATACGCAGTGACGGTAAAACATTTATCTATTTATTTTTATTCTTAAGATTGTACTTAATCTCTCCTTTTTTTGAACAGCTGTCTATAGCTGTTCTTCACTTTCACACTCATCTTCGTTAAATCTTCTAAAATGAGTTGGTGCTTTAAAAAAGCCTTGAGCCTTGTGTACATTTTTTTGCAATAATAAACTATTGCACATTTCCTGTTTCTCTGTGATTTAAAATTGCACAGTAATTAGTATTAACACAGTAAGTAATATTACATTTAATTTCATTCACCAAGAGCTACATATGTGCACAGGGACAAGTTTTCCTCAATTTTAATCAACATTTTTGAGTTGATTAAACCGTTATGGATCTAACCAAATTTCTGTTGTTGTTGTTATAGTGTGTTTAACTCCGTATCAACCGGAAAATGGAGGATACACTTGCCATCCCTCTCCCTGTACAAGGTTTTCTCATGGCACTGTGATTGAATATTTCTGTGAAGAAGGCTACATATTGAAAGGAGATTATAAATATCTTACCTGTCAGTATGGGGAATGGGACAGCCCTATGCAAATAGGCTGCCTTAGGGAGCAGGGTAAGGCGGCAATGTAAGAGAGATAGAAACCCTGAATAGTTTTAATAACTTATTTTGTGTTTTAGATCATGATTCCACCTTACCCCTCGAAATGCCTGCCTTGTCGATTGTAGCATCTACTGCTAGTTCAGTGACGCTCATCCTTCTCCTGGTAGTACTTCTGGTGCTACTGCAGCCAAAGCTGAAGTCCTTGCAACGGTTGGTGTACTTTTACTCAAATCATTTGTACTACCTTTTAATATATGCTTTCTCTTTTGTCCAGTCGTGATCACGGTGTGTCTGGCCAACCTGTGTCTATCATGGTGGAGGGTGTCCAGGTCACTTTACCATCTTATGAAGAGGCAGTGAGTGGTGTGAGCACCACAACCGCCCTTAACGCTGAGTCACATGTTCAGATTGTGTTGTCTGAGAGTCAGAATGGCACAGTGACAGAGGCTGGTCCCTCTGGCCTTTCCTCGATTAAACAACAGCACTCAGAGTTGGATGCCTACAACTCAGTACCTCCATCTTCCCCTTCCTCATCACCCTCCTCCTCCTCCTCCTGGACCCTAGACCATGTGTGTGCTTCAGCTGCAGATCCAGGATTAGAAGGACACTCTGCAGTTAGTCTGTATGATCCAGAGGTGGACTATTCTGATGGTAAAATCAATTTCTTATCTTAATTTGATTTAAGTTGTGCAGGTATTTTAATTTTTGTTTTCCCCTCCCCAGATATGCCATTGCTGAAAGAGGCCTAAAACTGCATTGTTGAGCTTGTATTATCAACAAACTAGTGTTTCTACTGACCTTCAGGGGCGATCAAAACACAGCTGTCACCACAAGCAGGCAGGACCTACAACAGGTTTAAGTCACTCACACAGTTCATCCCAAAGCAACACTTGCTGGAATCACTTGTACATACTTTAATTTTTCATCATTCATTTGATTTGAATGAAGTAAAAAAAGATGCCAAAAAAGATTCATTCTGTGGGATTGTTGAGCAATAACGCCAGGAGGAGTAATCTCAATGTCTGACCACAATTGAAAGCAGTTGTCAAACCACTATCGGACATTTTTGTTCCAACATTATTGTACTTTTTTGTCACATAATAAGGCTGCTTTAACACTTGCAATATCCAATACATTTATTTGCTATTTTTCTGGGATAGTTGAGATGATCCCCCCTCTAAAATGGGATCTTCTTTAGTTCACACATACAGTACCTTCCCCTATGGCCTTAGTGTTCCACTTCTATGCACAAATATCTCATTTTGTATGACTTAAAAATGAATGTTAGCAAATTTGCCTCTGCTTCTTTGTAACATATGTTGCTTTGACAAAAGCAAATGAACATATTAATATAATTTATTCAAGCTACTGTATATTTTATTTATTTGTTTTGAAATGCTGTTGACCAGCAGGGATTTCTTTTGATGCTTCCAGAATGGAAATGGGGGTCTTCACTTTGCTGCTTCACTTCTACTGCTGGCATGTAATGTGATAAGTGTACAAGTTGTTGGAAAGGACTAGCAGTGGTTTCATGTATTTTAGTTTGTGTATAGTCGCTGTTCACTTCTTTGGCTGTCCATGAGATGTGAATGGATGATAAATATTGGCTTTTAATATATGTAAAAAGTGTCATGTTGATTTAAATCTGTGTATCAAATGATTCCTTGGATTAAACATTTGTGTCATACTAATTTGTCTCTTTGTCCTTTATTGTATCAATCCACCTATATTATCAAAAACCTAAATCAAGTACATCAAAAATATGCATACATAGTATTTACAAGGTCAGATTATTAAGTTCACAGATACTATATTAGAACATTTAAGTAAACCATAGAAGCTTTTGACTGCAACTGGCCACGTAGAGTGAGGAGCACCAACAGTGAGAACCTCTCTCATTCCCTTATGGTCTACAGTGTCCATAATAATCTGGTACAGTTCAACCTTTTGCTTTAGGCCTCATCTCCTCCGTTTTAACATTTACACAGTCATACGGGTCTGCACCTATGCAATGGAAGAAAATCACCATTATGAGGATGTTTGAAGTGGAGTGAAAAACATACACATGGAACTTGCCCTGTGTTGGTGGTTTGAAATGAGTCTGGTAACATCTGTAACCCAAGGTCAGCAGCAGGGCCTCACTACACTGGAACATGATGTAAACAAGTGGGAAAAGAAACATTGGACCAATGACCTCAGGGGGAAAGGCCACTTTCAAGATAGCTGTGCACAACTGGATATTTTGACATCCTGTTTCCATGGAAATAGTCCTACAGCATCTGTAGAGAGGAGGAAATGTCACATCTCAATGACATAATATAGATCAGGGCTGCGCAATGTTGGCAAAACACAATTGCAATATGTTTCTGACCAATATTGCGATTACAATTTTTTTTTATACTGGTAAAAAGTCAGATTTTTAGTAAAAATTGTTACTTCAAGAAAGTTTGAAAAAGCAAAGGTAGCATTTATCTCATGCAACATTTCCACAAATGTTTGAGGTTCTATGGTATTGTACAACCACTTTTTCTGGTAGAAGTAACAGATGAGCTGAAAAAATGTAACAGTAAATGCCTGATATGAGATGTTTCTCCCCTTTCTTACAAAATAAATGTCATAGTGTGCACAGACCGAAGTGTGCACCTTTTGACAATTTATATGGATTGTGAATTTGGGATGAGAAAATGCTGCTTCTTTCTGTCAACAAGACCAAAGACATGTGTTCCATTGACAAATCTACAAAATAGTGTCTTATCAAGATATCGAGAAATTTTCCCAAGTTCAAGTGATGTTTCTTAACTTCAGTACCACTTATGTTTGTTGTATTTACGGTACTTAAATAATTGCAGTGTTTGAGAGTTGCCAATTGTAACCACGAAAATTGAATTATTTGATTGAGATGAATTGTGCAGTTCTAATATTAAGAGATAAAGAGTGTATTTTCTTCATAGCAGACTTACTGTGCATTCAGCCGGAATACGGAGGATATGGCATACCCCAGGGCAAAGCCGGTGAGAGGCATGAGTGCAGCCACGGCCAGAACATCGGGCATGAAGATCATCCACATCACATCTTTCACAGCCATGCCAGACAGAACTGACGCCAAAGCAGTACAGACAATCAGCACAATAAGGCCTGTCTGTTCACAGTTAACATGTCAAGGCAAAACAAATGCTTTCTTAAAACACTACAGAATGTGGACTTTACCTTTGTTACAACTGGGGCATATTTTGGCTTGTAATAATTTATGAAGATTCCAGTGGTGCAAGGTATAAGGGTCAAAGCAAGAGTGGTGGTGATCCCAGCATACGGCACAGCATTTTCTATCCCAGAGAAGCCTTGACAGAATGCAAACAGCAGCAAGGGCATCATACCCAAAGCAGCAATAGACGAACAAGTCGTCATCACAATGCTGGATTTGAAGAGAAAAATAATTAAGAATATTTTTTGTTTACTGTATGTCACTCTTTCCTACATAAAACACACTTTTATTTGACCTTAAAGGCGTTATACAACCACTAAGAAGGAGTTTTTTCATTACCATTCATTTTCTCTGGAAATATGGCCCAACATTTCTGACAGGGCGTGCACATTTTCAAGTATGACTGTACATAGCAAATAGGGCTGTAATTAACAATTGATTTGATGATGATAAACATAATATTTTATTTGTCCCTACTGAGGGACGCATACGATTTATGGGTTATGGGTTTATGGGTTTATCTTACAATAATAATAACAATAAAAACAAATGTTGATAGAACCTTATTTAAAAAGCTATGTCATATGTATATTCTACCAATTAATACCTTTGTTGTTTCGATCCCAAAAGCTTTTGGGATAATATATTGATTAGTTGTGTTTAATCAACTTGTTACAGCCCCAATAGCAACCATAGTAAAAGGTCACAAGTTTGCTCTATGTGTGCAACATAAATTACAGGTTCTTAAAACAAACAATTAAATTCCATTTATTCTTATATAGCCCTACATCACAGCAGTAGTTATCTCCGAGGACTTAACACATCTGTTGAATTTGCCAACACCGATCAGAGAATCAAACAGTTCAAACACAAGAAATGCAATGATAGAAAATACATAGAGCAATTGGCCCAAACAAAATAAGACATAGTACCAATATATAAGAGAAATCATTCGGAATTTACCTGAGGTTCATGTCCCCTTTCAGTGCCAGAGAGAAGATATTAGACAACGTTCCCCCAGGACAGCAGCCACAGATAAGGACAGTCACGGCTTTGATTGAATCCATCTGAAGAATCTTTGCCAAACTGAAGGCTGTTAAGGGCATGATGCAGAACTGGGCCACAAGTGCAATGCCCACTCCTTTAGGCTTCAATAAATGCTTCTTGATTTTTGAAACTTCCATAGTACATCCAAGAGACACCATCGTCACAAGGAGCATGAAGATGGTCAGAACGTTTAAGGACAGATTGAGAAAGTAGCTGATCTTGAAACCGCCTGTCGTTGTATTTCCTGTTAGATTTCCGTCAATGTAACGTGTAGCTAATTGGTTGAAGAGCTCGTTGGTTAAGTTCCCAGTGGACATTGTAGGATTGTCCATTTCACCTGCATTTGTTTCCACCTGTAAAGTTAATTTGGTTTGCCATCAGATTGTTATACCTCATACATATTGTACATGCAAATCTGGGTGTGGGAGAGATCAGTGCCATACCACACAACATAAAAGTTTTAGCAGTTTACCATCCTGGGGGATACACCACAATTCATGAGATTTGTTACATTATTACCAAAAAAAAAAAAATTCACTGCAGTCTTACACAAATTATCATAATAAACAACATGAAGCAGTATTTAACGTAACAATAATCCCTGTTTTTCATTTGAAGAAAAAAAAGTAAAATTAGGGAAAAAGCTAGGAAAAGCACCTTACCTTCATGTCTGCCCTGTGCAGTATTAATCCACTCAATGGCCCACATCTCTCCTAACATTCTTGTTTTTAGAAGCCAAGTTGCTGCTTCGGCCCCTTACCCTCCTCTTTGCATCACATGGCACATTACAAGACTGGAGCTCGAGAGACAAAACACTGAACTGCACTGTGTTCTTTTTAACTTTGTGCCAAAAGAACACACATATGCACATGATTGCATGTGATAACTTTTATATATTTACTGTACAAGTCTCTTTTTATCATTTCATGGTACTTTTTGTTCCTCGTGGGAAAGCCTTCAAACTGGTTGGCACGATGGTGTGAACAGAATGCAATTACACATCCAAAGAGCCATGCTGTTCAGCCTCACTCGTAAACAGACCTTTAATTATTATTATGCAACCAGGCAGAGGCTCCCGTTTGTGCTGCTAAATGGGGGCTCCTCTTTTATTGTGGGCCTGCCTCGTTTGTTATTTCAGATTTGTTGCCTATAATCCATCAGAGTATGGCAGAGATTAGATCCCGTGTTTAAAGCTCCTCACGAGCCCATTCACAGAGCCCCCCGCAGCACCAACAATGCTGACTCCAGGCTCAGTCAGGTGCTATTGGAATGATTCTTCTCATTAAGAATGTTTCATTTTTATAGTTCAATCTTACAGGTTTCTTTAAGACAAATTCAAGGTTAGCTCCATAGCAAGATAATCCTTTGTACGATTCCACCTCCAGAAGAGGTCTTTCTGGATAGAGTTAGTATGTTCTTCCTGTGTCTGCATAGGTTTTCCCCTTATGTGCTCCAGTTTCCTCTATCCTAGTCCTTTTCAATCCTTAATTAAGACTATTTATATAAGAAATAAACACCGTAGCTTGTTACAAAAACCTACCGGAAAAATGGAATAAAGACATTTCAATTATTTGTTCATTGAAATAAAATAGTTGTTGGTGCTTCAGGCTTGGATTGTTGCTGGGCTTGTGGTCTGTGTCTGAATTGGACCAGGCCCTTCAAAGTTTCCTAAAAAGATTAAGATTAAGAGATCCTTTATTTGTCCCACAGTGGGGAAATTTCAGTGTTGGATCATAAGTTATAGAACAGTAGGAATGAGGGGCACACAGCACAAGATAAGTGAACAATAGCTATACTTATTAGAATAACTGTATTAACTTGTATTAAAATAAAACTAAATCTCTAACTCTAGCATCAAAGGACAAGTGTAAAATCTCTATCTTGAACATAATAATAATAAAGAGAATAAAGTTTTACATTTGCAAAATAAGAGGGAAGTATAAAGTACTGTGTATTCTAGTGCAAGCAATATGTAGCTATATGTTAGCATCTGCACATGTTAGCAGCAGTATATTTACATCAGTATGTGTACATTTGTAAAAACATTTTTTACAAATTTTGGTGGAAAGAATTTCCTATAAAACTGTATAATGGTATTCTTCCAAAAGATTCATACAAAATGTATCCTAAAGTCTGGTCCACTCCAAAAAGTACTCCTTATCAAGTTCGTGGTCATTGGCATTGCGGTGTTTTTGTTTGTTTTGTGAATGTTCTTGTCCTTTGTAATGTCTTGTTCTCTAATCTAAAAAGATTATTTTAGGAATGCCCACTAGTGTTCTTTGGGATTGAGATATGGGTTTTGTGATGACCACTCCAAAAGGAGTTGTTCATTTTGAAGTTCTATTTATTTCAAAACATTATCTTCTTTTATGACAACCTGAGCCCAACATAATATAATATTTCCATCAATACAGCCTCCTAATATGACAGTCACATGCTAAAGCTCTGGGATGGTGTTCCATGCCTTGGAAGCCTCTTGTCCACTTGTCCCATTCCTGAGCTTTCTTGAAAATGTTATTCAAATCCACCCATAAACTTTAAAGTTATGTTGAGAAATAACAGGCAGGAAGATGAACAAACCCTGGTGATTAAATTACATGACAGGAAATGTTGTCTAATGGTCAGCTAACCTATCAGCTGCTTTCAAGGTTTGGAAACTTAGAAATCTTTATGTAAATAAATATAGTGACTTAATACAATACAAATAAATAATAAATCACCAGGTGAGGAAAAAAAACTATAAAATGAACATGCACTTTCCACTATGAACAGTGAAAGATGTGGTGCTCTTTAGCGGCTCATATTAAGCTGTGAAACTGAGTGGGGGATGAGCTTGGCAAGGCCACCATCTGGTCTATAATCATATGCTCATAAGCGCTATGTCATTGTTGTACGAACATGAAAGAGGAGTAGGCCCTATATCATTACTAACAAAACATACACTCGATCTACGTACAATAGTTTCTTTCAATACAGACAACTGGGTGTGTACATTGCCACTTGCAAGTAACCGAGCCACAAACCTATAAAACTGGGATTCATTTTAAGCTTTTGTAGTTTTGTCATTTTGTAATTTTGTCATGACACTTGTAGTTCAAATAAGTTGATAGTTGGTTTAAATCTATGACTACAGCTAAATTCATGAAAATAAGATTACTTCCTATATTTGTATTCTATTGTGGATTGAATACGTGGCATATTACTTATTGAAACACATAAAAGGTATTACGTTTTACTTGACTAAACAAATAACTACTCTATCTCATAAAAGGTCAACTTTGACGTAAAAGGAAGGATAATGAAAAAGAAATTTGGATCAGTCAGTGTCAAACGCCTCCATTTCCCAGAATGCACTGCGCGGTTGAGTCTGCGCATGTAGTGTTTTCTCATCCATGTGTAGGCGAATCACGTGTACGGATCCCTGTTGGTCGTCATGTCTGTGCTGTAGCGAAGCACGGAGCTATCTTTTTAGCCTTTACGTTCCCCACAGTTGTCGCTACACTTTATTTTGACAGCTGCTTGGCTTTTCGCTCACATTACAGAAGAATGAGCGAAAACGATGACATCGACGTGGACAGTGATGTACGTGGTCTCTCCCTGACCTAGCTAGCATATTAGTTAGCACAAACAGCAACTTTAACCAACCATATCTTATTTGACTTAAGTAATACGAGCCTTGGTAATGTTTTAATGATATATATTCGAAATCGATATTGAGTTATGTTATGTTAACCATGAACTGGAACAAATACAATATAGTTTTTTTGATTTGTTGTTTTGCTTTCGATTCTCGAGCCAAAATTGCGATGAAATTACTATTACACGTCTGTCATAAAATAAAACCGGTTTATACCTCTGCAATTCATTAATATGTTCTCTAAGAAACTATGTCCGTTTTACAAGTGAAAATGTATGTTGTTGTTGTTATTCGGGGTAGGGGGCGGGAGGGAGGACAAACTAGGCCAGCAGCCGTTCCTGTAGCTAATATTATACAAATCAGCGTTTTATTGGGTTTTAAAATGTATGATTGTGGTGTATTCATCTTTATTTTACCTATAGACAAGCCTTTCACGACGATTTAATTATTGCTTAACCATAGGACAGTGTAGTGCGAACATTTAGTACGACGCATTTTCCTATTAGCAGGGGGCATTCGTTTTGAGGCAAATATGGTCATCATCCATATTTGTGGATGTGCTATTGATTTTTTCTGAAGATGGACACACGTCTGCTCACATATTTCAGGGTGACAGATTGCCCTTCCCCCTCCTGATTATACCTTATCTCTTGGCTTAGCTGTCACCAGTGTACCCTAGATTTTTAGACGGGAATTCATTATTAATTTCAAGTGAACCCTGTATATGCTTCTGTCAAGTATCCTAAATAACAACCAAGTTTTTTTTAATATATAGAAATGTTTATAAAGTCTATGTATTGAGAAATAAGTCTTGTTGGTTCCACGCCAGTGTAGCATAACAATCAAACCAAAAATACTGAATAACTTGTGCATTTGAAGATTGATTAAATTTACACTTTGTTTTGTACAGGCAGACAAGAGAGCACATCACAATGCATTGGAACGCAAGCGCAGGGACCACATTAAGGACAGCTTTCATGGTTTACGAGATTCTGTCCCTGCGTTACAAGGAGAAAAGGTGAAGACAATTTAGATTTTTCTAACTACTGATGTGAGGAACATGTGGTAGCTCGCTTAATGAAGAATTATCCTAAACTACATTTAGAAATCAGCATCTATCTAACTATAGTAGAGCCTGTGCCAACACCAAGAGTGAGGCTGTGTCCAGGCCAAACACCTAAACTCTGGTCCACTAGTCACTAGGGCTTAGTACCTTGAAATGGGTTCCTACTTGGAACCAACAAAAATGTCCAGTTCTTGCTGCAACTCTTTGAGATTTTAAATCCTGTCCTTGAGCTGCTCTTTAACCCCATTAACCCATGCTTATTAGATTAAATATTAGATTAATTCAACTAATCGTTTTATTTGTGTTGATTGTACAGGATTATTGGTCTCTGTTTCGCAAACATTTACAGACTTTAATACTGAGATGGAGATTTTAACATGAGAACCATACAATTTAGTGTCTCTCAAGCTTTGCAACAGTCATCTCAATTTTACTAATACACATTTTCCAAAACCCGAGAATCAAATTAATAATCCTAAATTTAATATGATAGTATGATCTCAGATGTTTTGAGATTAACTACATCTAAAAATGAGTCAAATAACATTACTACGTATTTATTCTAAATGCAGTAGTGCGTTTTTTTTCTTGATTCTGATTTCAGTTCTCATTAGTTTATATGATTAAAGAAGCATTGGGTGCCAAAAGTGGTCCTTTTTAAGTGACATAAAGGCCATTAGATCAATCATTTGATCAATATATGTCTGTATATAGTTAGTACATCAAAATCTTGTTAAGAGACAAGATTTCATCCCTGATCGCCACAAAGAATACATCTTTAGTGACGCACATAGACAGAAAGAAATGGACCATTTGTGGCATGATAACCAAGTTTCTTTGTGAGCTGTTTCTGCTTTTCTTGCCACAAATGGTGAAATGAAGGAGCTCAATACCATCATTGTGAGGCGTACTAGTAGTCGTCGTCACCTTCATAATTTAGAATCATTGCCATTGACCTTAAAGTGATAGTCTGTAACTCTAAATGAATTACAAATTTTAAGAATTGTATTAAATTGACCTCCTGGCCTTAAATGTTGATATATGTTAAGTCACTTTATGAATTCTAATATTACGGGTAAGTCCCGCCATCCCTTCTCTTAGCTATAGCTCAAAATCCACGATGTCGTCCACGTTTACCAATCAAGTGATGCCAAGGGCTGTCAATCATCGACGCTGATGCTCGTAGCTGCGCGCATGCTCAGTTGTTTGTTTTCACAAAGCCTCCGAATCAAGTCTCCATTAGGCTCTGGAACTACATGAAAACTGAACAAATAATTCTGAACATTCGCGCTGAGTTACCCATTTATATACTTAACCTATATCCATTATCATTTATATACTGAACCTATATCCATAATCATTTATATACTGAACCTATATCCATAATCATTTATATACTGAACCTATATCCATAATCAGATCCTCTGCAGACGTGTCCTATAATGTTCAATTAATAATAATAGTTACTTCCGGGTTTACCGCGATCGCTTTTTTTGTGCATTAAAACATTATTTTTGTCATGAAAACGTTAATAAATAATTCTGAGAACCTCCGTGCATGTGTATTAATAATAATATGTATAATGTGTTCTACGATTTAACATTCAAATGTGTTGATTGATTGTTACGGAAACGTAGGCGTAGACCAATCAGAAAGGAAGGAGGAGGGAGCTTGGGTTGTTTTTTTTCACATCATGTACCTCTCTTTTTTCTGACAAACTCCAGACAATCACTTTAAATGTTTTATGTTTTGTTTCTAGGCTTCCAGAGCACAGATTTTAGACAAAGCCACAGAGTACATCCAATTCATGAGACAAAAAAACCACACCCATCAGCAAGACATCGATGACCTTAAGAAGCAGAATGCACTTCTGGAGCAACAAGGTAATATTTGTTGACATTCTTAGTGTCTATGTAAAAAGTCTTACCACATTCTTATTTTGTCTTCCAGTTCGCGCATTAGAGAAGGCTAAGGGAAACAATACACTTGCAAATAATTACTCATCAGACAGCAGTTTGTACACAAATCGCAAAGGGAGCGCAGTATCTGCGTTTGACGGCGGATCAGACTCCAGCAGCTCAGAGTCGGAGCCTGAGGAACCCCCAAGTAGGAAGAAGCTACGTCTAGAGAACAGCTAAAGCTTTGCAAATGACTATAGCTCACCAGCCCCTCTTTGATGTCCGGACACTTTGTCCAGGCTGAAGACTGTACACTGAAGAGGTGCTAGTAATATCATTTTTAAAACAAATAGATGATTTTTTTTTTCTTACAAACCCTCCATAGCCAAACAGTCTTCTATCAATTCCTGGTATTGAGGCAGCTCTGTCATTTTGAAGAAATGTATTCACAAATGTCTTTATAACACGTCAGTTGAGAAGCAGTTCCATATTTTTTAAGATGGTTTGTGTTGATATTACGAACTCGACTGTTCCTAAATTTATGGAAAACTAAAATGTGAAATTTGTGACACAAGAAGCAGCCATTTTGTTTTTTGTTTTTTCTAATTGGCTGAGAGATGTGTCAATGAAATGTTTGTGTAATACACTTTTTCTATTTATATTGATATTCTTGCTTATACCCTTATATAATAGTATGTGTCATTATGCTCCATTATTTCTATAATTTGTACATTATTGGGGGCTCAACATGCCCCTTCATTTGGATAGAATCTGCATAATTTTATGTCAGTATACAAATTCTTGATACATCTTTTAATTATAATTGTTTTCATGCACTAGAATATACCAAGAAATGCCCATCACCTTGGCCCTGTTCGTTATTTCCCCCTCTTTGGTAAAAATTATGCAGTTTTTGTTTAGTTGTTATTCAATAATACAGGTATGTTGTACATACTGCCAATTGTCGTCTTGCAAGTTGAGGCGTATCTTTATTATGAGACTATAAATAAACTATTTTATCCTGTGTAATGCTTTTGTCAAAGACTACATGGATTCAACAGGTTATGGTGCAGGAAATCCAATATAGTTTGAGCTAGAAATGAACATGAAACTGTTGTACCTGAGAGTCGAATGGATCCGTTTTAAAAAGAAAGTGCATCCATAATTTCTGAAAGAGGTGTCAATATATCTGCAGACACACGTCCCTCATCAAACGATGCAATGTAGAGAAAACGCTGTCACTGCCTCTCGTGAATTCGAGACTATATTTCGGGGAGTTGGTGTGTTTTACGTCGGGTGGTGGATTTTCCGAGAGTCCGTGAAGGGCTCGCACAGGCAAACACAACGCGGCGCTGCTTGATTCAATGGTGCAGAGCTGAGACACTTCAAACCAGGTGGATCCGGGTGGGCCAGAGGATGGCAAAGCAGTACGACGTTCTGTTCAGACTGCTGATGCTCGGGGATTCGGGAGTGGGAAAGACCTCCATGCTCCGCAGGTTCACGGAGAGTGAATTTGAGTCGTCACATATTTCCACAATTGGTAAGCCACCAAAAGTTAACTTAATCAAGTCTGAAAGTGACGTATGACGCTGTGTTGCCATCCTCACAATAACTGAAAAGCGATTTTGACAACTAACAACTCTTTTTTAAAACATAAACATGTGACATATTTGCCCCATTGGAACAGTGGGATTATCCGCTGGATCCTTCAACACGCTGTTCTCCCAATACTCACAGAGCTCACTATAATGATGTCAACAACAGCCAAATTACTCAATAAATAAGTATATAACAAATAAATCAACGAACAATATAATAGCCTTGAGTGACACAATGCCATTAGAGTCATTAGAAGAATATCAGTACAACTTCTGTTCAACACTAAATTGTTGAACATTTGTGTTGCTTTATAAAGTGCTTTCATCTGCACAGATCACACTTGTAGCAGTTCCTTTGAAAAACATTATTTTTCCAGCTGTGATTATAGCTAATCAAACAATAGGAGGTCCCTGAGTGAAGCTTCTTTGAGCAGGAGCAATAGTGATGATGAAAAGCAACATATGACATTGTTTGCAGGGGTTGACTTTAAGATGAAAACGTTGACTATTGATGGACTTAAAGTACGAGTGCAGATATGGTAAGTTTACATTTTTAACCAGCTTGATGCAATACATTAGAATTGGCTCTTTGTCAAATACATAGCCTACAACAATAATAATCTTTATTCTAGAACAGAATTGATGATGATGAAATACATTGTGAGGATCATTTATATGTTGCAGGGACACAGCTGGTCAAGAACGCTATAAGACCATAACGAAACAGTACTACAGACGTGCACAGGTGAGCTTTCTTTGTCTCTCTATGCACTAATAAACCTCCCTCCCTGTATCGTTTGAGCTATCAATTACCAGGCAGCTTTGTGGTTATCCATTTAGTAAACATAAAAAAAACATCAAGAAAACTATTATAAAAAACAGATTTCACTGGAATAAATGTGTGTTTCCCTCAAATATAAGATCATGACATCCCAACGTTCAAAAAGACCTGTAGGCCACTGTAGTTTACAGAGAAGGTGGAGGACAGGGTGGGGCGTGAATTCGAATTTAGCTTTTGGCAAATAGTTTTCAGGATAGCTTCAAAAGGTTGAAAGGACTTTGTCATTAGACTGAACCTTTTCTTGTATTAAATAATGATTTATGGACTGATTTTATGTTGTGTTTTTCAGGGTATCATTTTTGTCTATGACGTTACAAACCAGTCTTCTTTTCAGAACATTTCAAATTGGGTTGGTGATGTAGATGAGGTAAGGAGTTGCGATTACAAGTTTGACCTCTTTGTTGTAGTGATTGTGAACTGTTACTTTTGCTCCCATCATTGAACCGCCGCGGTTTGTGTGATGCCACAAAATACTTAATTCACTATTTGAATATGTAAAGCTGTGCCTTTTTAGTTGCACAAGGTTGTGTTTGAACCAAATTCCTTCCTGCAGTTTACGCCACATCAAGTACAAAGAATATTGGTAGGAAACAAGTCTGATGAGCAACCGGAGCGCCAAGTGCCTTCGGAACTTGGAATGAAGGTATAGCATGAGGTACTTTGAGTTATATTTATTGTATAATTCAATCGTGTAACTTTGCAGCTTGCCACGTCTTACGGAATGGACTTTTTTGAAACCAGTGCATCCACTAACCATAACGTAGATGAGGTAATTGTTTGTCCTACGCTTCCATTCTACCTAAACACACACTGCTCCCTTCTAATTCTATTTGTTTTGTACTTCCTCTAGTCGTTCACTCGAGTTGCAGAACTGGTGTTGCAAGCCCACAAGTCAGACATCGACAACTTGATAGGATCGCTGGATGAGTATTTGGATAAAGTGGCTTTGGGAGAGGAGGCGCCCAGCCCAGAGAACGACAGCAGCTCTCAGCAGACATGTGCCTGCTAACCGAAACCACTGAGCTAATAACTGTGGGCTCAATAAGACTTCAGCCAATGTCTACAGGATATGCACATAAGAACGCAGCTGCATTCTATAACATCACCACTGGAGGGACAGGAACCACATGAATTATAAAGCTGTTGGTGTGGTCACATTTCAACTGTATTGCATCACGTAATGCTTTGTAGTCATTTCATAAACTATTAGGGTGAAATTATTGAGAAACAATAGTAACACATTAATTCAATCTGTTTTTATGTCCAATTGAAAGAGGTAGGTAGACCTTCAAATATTTAAAGACAGAAATGTGATTCCAAGTTTCTTTTTGTTTAGTGTTATTGGGGCTGTTATTGTAATGTGCCATTTTTTCTGATTAATCTGAATGTGTAAATGTTGACACTGCTAATACTAATATAATCTCTTAGTGAAGTCTTTAGTAAATCTCCATTTATATGGGGCTTTTTTTCACAGACAAGGGTCACACAAAGCACTTTACAATTAGATGTATTGTTTAATAATAATAAACCTGTATTTTTCTTAAATTAGTCTTTGAATTTCAACCTGCTTGTTCACAGTTTGCTTTAGGGTGCTGTGTGCATGTTTTATTTAATAGTGACAGGTGATCCCATAATAAATATTAAACAGCAGGGAAACTAATATGCCACAGTGGATAGTTGAATTAGTGTCAAAACATCAGACTTCTAAAACTCTGGGAACTTTGATATGACACAATAAATATACTACAGAGTCTTCAAACATGTTGCATTTTGAGCCTTCACTTTTGGATGTAACTGTGGCACTCTCAGGATGTTAAATCGTTATTGATGGATGATGGATCAGTTTCCTGTTGGGCCATGCGATACCCATGATCCATCAGGTGATGCTGTGGTCTATAGTCACGCACAGGGATCCCATCTGCCTTCAGTGAGGACCAGATGAGAGAGCATGACGTTCATAGCAAAGACGTTCTATGACCTGAGAGCTGCCACTCTGGAGGGAGACTCTGTGGACTTTAACGTGTACAGGGGAAGAGTGGTCCTCATTGAGAATGTGGCATCGCTGTGAGGCACAACCGCCCGGGACTTCAGCGAGCTCAACCAGCTTCAAGCCAAGTACCCCCATCGACTGGTGGTCCTGGGCTTCCCGTGCAACCAGTTTGGATACCAGGTACAATAGAGGTTTTTTTTTATTTCAGTGCTTTAATGGCCTCAGGATATCACCAAGTAATTAGGAGTCTAGGATCAATGTCAAATCCATGCTAATCCTAACCCCAATGACCTCTGAATGGTTGGCTGTAACATTGATCCTTGGAAAACAACTTTGATATTGATACTGGACTCTTAAAGCTGGCATACCTAACTTTTAAACTACAAAAAATGTACTTATGCAAATCATCTAGTTCTATTTTTCTCACAGCAGTTTGGTTTTATCACTAGTTTCCATGTTTATGTATTTTTTTTCCTCTGTCACATCCTTTATATCAGCTTTTTCAGACAGAAAAAATGGACCACCCTCACTCAGCCAATCAGCTTTCAGCTCAAAGTGATCATATTCAGTGATCAAACAGTATGCAAAATGACAAATATAGATTTTTTTTATGATAGAGGAAAAACTATCATGGTTGTCTTTTACTTAAAGGTATATAGAAAGATTTTCCAAAATTTTAGGAAAGAACTGCCCTCTCCACTTTTTGAACAGAACTCTGTCTTATTTGACGAGCACATATCACCAGAATGATTGACAATGGGGAGGACCAATAATCTTGATGATCCACCTGGAAGTAGAAAATCCTCTTATGTGCCTTTAATTGATTCAGAATAGTCTATGTACGTCTAGATAGATTTTGTTTTGCATCACATATAATGCAGGCCTATTTCAAACAAGTTAAACTCTCCTAAATCAAGCTATTGTGTTGTGTTTTTCAGGAGAATTGTACAAATCCAGAAATCCTAAATTGCCTCCAGCATGTGCGTCCTGGAAGTGGCTTTAAACCCAACTTCACCATCTTTGAGAAATGCGAAGTCAATGGATCGAATACACACCCAGTCTTTGCCTACCTGAAAAACAAGCTCCCATATCCTGACGATGACCCGAGTTCACTCGTCCAAGACCCCAAATTTCTGGTCTGGAGTCCCATCTGCAGGACAGACATCTCTTGGAATTTTGAGAAGTTTCTGATTGGACCGGAGGGAGAGCCCTTCAAAAGATACAGCAAGATGTTTCCAACCATCAACATAGAGCCAGACATCCAAAGACTGCTGAGATTAACCAAGAATAACTAAGACAATAGTACTTCCACGAAAATCTATACCTCCATCATTTACAGTTTGTCTAAAATGCAATGGTGCCCTCCTAATTTTAAGCCTTATTTAATGATGGTGGTATTGTAAAACCCTTGTGTGAATATCAACTGATGATTCATAAGTGCTTTACTTTGTAGGATGGTGACATTCATTTTTGTTGCAATGTTTGGATTTAGAGGTATACACATGTATGACAAAAAACAGCTAAAGAATTTGGCAAATGTTGTTTTACTAATTGGTTTTGTTCCATGCATGTTCTGTCTTGTCCAGCAGATGGTGCTATTGATCCGACAATACAATTTCAAGTACTTACACTGGAATTACTGCTCGCGAATTGTTTATTTCATTATGGGCTCTTTTGAAGGAATCCATGCATATCTAGTGGTGAATAAAAATATGAATTGAATACTAATTTATCAACAAATCTTTATCTATTCTTCGTGAAATGTCATCGAGAATAGCTGACTTAGAAAAAAGGATGTTAATATTTTCAGCGCTTACTCCACAGTGACAACATTTGTTTGGCCCATGGACGGCTTTAGAAGCTCTCCTCCAAACCCCCAACCACGTGTCACAGGTGAGAGCGGTTGCCAGGGAGACGTTTGCCTTTCCCCGAGCACTCTCGCGAGAGTATGTGCAGACTGGGGAGGCTGCCTCTGCCTGAATGATCTCATCCTCCAGCAGCTGCATAGCGCAGCGAGGCAAAGCGTAACTTTCTGTCCAACTTTTAGTTGCCTTTTAGATAAGACACGTGAGTGGTTTCGATTTCGAGACATTTCACAAAGAGGTAAGACAAAGCTTTCTAAAGTTCACTGTTCTGAATCAGCGTGTAGACCTACGCAATATTACATTGCTGTGACTTTAACAAAAGGAAACGAGTGCTGTGTTGTGTTACATCCGAAAGCTCGAAGCGAAAGGGAGGAAAAGGTGAGGGCAGAACGTGGTCTGTCTTGCACGCCCTGCACTCGCACTAGCACTCGTACTGCTACTGGTACTGGTTCTGGTACCGACTTCAGAATATTGTGTTGTACAAGTGTGAACAATATGATGCTCTGTAGACACAGTTCCAGTGCTTTTAAGTGAAGGTGCCGCTGTCACAGAACTCTATCTGTGAACACAATCACCACGAACGCCACCATGCACAGACTCCGTCGTTCTGTCAAGGGCATCGTTCCCAGCAGAGTCTTAGAAAGACGGATCACAGGTGGCTTTCGTGTCATCAATGAATGAAGAGTGGTCTTCCGAGGCGCTGTGCTCCCGCAGGACCGTGCTGTGAATGTGCGTGGTGGTTCCCCGGTGATTTCCCTGTGCCACATCTGCCAGGCCCAAAGAGCTGAGATTTGTTTACAGCCGTGAGTTCTTCCGTCATTTGTCTAAACGCTCCTCTCCGCGGCTTATTCCAGAGTAAAACACAGTAAAAGACTGTCGTATTTTTAGTAGTGGGTTCGGTAGGGCTTCGATTAGATATTGGGGATCCACAGTGAGCATAAAGGCTATGTAGCATGTAGCGTCACTCTACTACTGTTATAGAAGGTCAAAGCACCTATGTAAACATTCATATTCTCACAGCACATTCAATTGGAAACTCTCCTCCTAACACGCTTCACAGTACTTTGTTATGGTAGAGTAATCTGACAGGAATCAGGTGAGAAAGGGAAGCTTTGAAGCATTCTTGATAGGCTTAGGTGTCCAGAAAGCATGACTGATCATATAGCTGCAGTTTTCTCTTTACTTTAATCTCAGCTTTGGTCTCCTGCCTAAACCAAAGCCATTATTCACACCAGCCTGCCTCTTGCTGTCTGTTGGGTTTTCGTTTTTAGAATCGGAATCTTGCAGCATATAACTTAGATTTACTTAGATATTATGCTTTATATAATATCAGATGGTCAAATATGTACAACTACCAACTTGTCATATCACAACCCTAACCCTAACTGTCTATTTAACCATGTTAACGTGTGTTGTAATGCTTGCATGCTGAATGGCTGAGTAATAATCCACGAGGAGATGAACAATACACCAAGTATGGCAACAGGATGCAAGTGGCTCATAGAATAGTTTGAGCGAAGATAAAAGACAACAAGAGAAGCATTGTGTTGCTTTTAATTGACACCAGTGGAATTTGTGGGCAGCAATTAGAGTAAACTGTTGCCCTGAAACCCCTAAATTAAATGTCTACACTATACAGTAATGAATATGGAATAGATGGAGGCAGTGGTTTTTTGTTTTTAATTAATTTATTGGTTCGGTTGCATCACCACAGTGGGGTTTTAATTGCACTGACTTCACTTTTCAATTATTTGGGTGGTTTGAAGACCCTCCTGGTATAAACGATCATATGTCCGCTGTCAATCTGACCATAGTAAACCTTTTCATAGTTTCATTTTCTCTTGTGTAGTCTTGCCAATATTTGCCGCCAGAGCTTTGAAATAGCTCTTCCTTATAATATTTAGAGCTATAAATATATTGTTTCCTTCCCTGTGTTTTGACAAGCAAAATGTGGTATTGCTGGTAATGCCTGTATGACCAGTGAATGTATTATCACCACCACTATCTCAATTGAAGCCCTGGAAAACGAATGTAGTGTGTTTTCTTACATTTGCTGAAAGAGCTGTAATGGTGAGTAATGTAGTGGTATTTTTTTGGCAGGTGGTTAGTGCTGAGTCATATCTATTCCTCATGATTTTGTTGCATTGGGGTTACATCAAATTCTAAAGTTAGCTTTCACTCCTACTGTTGAAGATGAATTCAAGATAAGATAAACTTTAATGGTCTCACATAGGAGAAATTTACATGTCACATTTGGCATAGATAGAATCACTCAGGTTGTGCAAAAAGACAGAATATGTGCAAACATGTTAAAAAGGTTAAAAATAATGTCTCTTTTGTGAAAGATATATCATGTCCAGGGACTGCAGATGGAAAATAGCTACTTTGCTAAATCTGGTACAAATCATCTCTTCTTTTGTAAAGACTAATGGTTTTGTACACTGTCCCTGTTTCAATAAACAATAAACTAACTAACTAACTATGTACAATAGCGCTGGGCAATTAACCCAGATAAAGAATAAAAAACACTTCTAAAGAATAAATTTAAATTTAAAATAGAGTTACAGTTACTATTTACAATATACAAGTGCACATGGTGCACACAATGTAAGGTGACAGCAGTACAGTGAAGTAAAGTGACGTATGATGGGCAGTAAAGTGACTTTATAAAGGGCGGGGGGACAGGTTAAGAAGTGTTCAAGAGTCCAACAGCAGAGGGGAAGAAACTGTTCTTGTGGCGGGAGGTTCTAGTCCTGATGGTAGTGCTGAGGCAGTCTCCTGCCTCAGCACCTCAATACGTATTGGGGGAAACAAATTAAAAATAGTTTTGAATATTGAGCGGAAAGATCAAAAAATTATTTTAAGTGTGTCTTCGGTGACTTGAATGAATGATTTAAAATCGAAATTGTCCAAAGTAGGAAATAAAATTGCTCAGCCTGTACAATGAATAAATAATTAAATGGATTTATGAAATACAACTAGAATTACATTGCCCTTATCTATTTTAATGTTGTTTACATTATACAAATATAAGGGAATAAAAATGATACTTGAACTGTTACATGCATGTTATACAGTTGTACACATTAATTAAACAAATGAATAGTACTTTCTGAAAGAAAGAGCAGGCACAGTAAGTAGAGGAGCTTGTCAGTTGAATCTTGGGTGTACCAGGATGACTGGAGCTGCTCCTTGGGCTCCACGAGCCTTTCCACAGGTGACGCTTCCACAGTCTGATGCTCTGATTGTTATGAGGTATGACTGTGTGTCTGTACTTCCTGTTTGTTAAACTGTTGGAATGCCATGGCTTTGTACGGATGGGACACTTCTCTGTACCAGCCAATGCAGAAAAGCACAGGGCTCGGAGCCACAAAAGAGCTGGTGTGATGGCCTTTCAGAGTGTTGTCACAGAGTAAATGCGGACAGACAAAGACTAAAATTCTCTCTTCATTCCACCCCAGTTGCCACAAAGTGTCGGGAACTTGACCTTGCAAAAATGTGCGACAACTGGGACACTGTAATTATCTGAGGGATAGGGGAGAGTCTGCTGACACCAGGAGTTCAGTGGTGGGGCAGGTGCTAACTTTTGCTTTCAGGGGCAATATTCATTAACAGGTGGTCCTAGTTTGTTTCATATATAATCAACCTCCCATTGAGTTTCAACATCCGGAGGTCCCAAAAGATACCAATAAACTTAAAGATGGCAAGCATTAACTGGAGTCATGCTGTGATCAAAGCGTATATTTCCTTGTCAACACTGTCAAACCGTAAGCCTTGAAATTGAAGCAGTGCAGGATTATCCACAATGTTGCCATGAAATGCAAAACATCAAAACTGTTATGCATTCTTATGGTTGTGTTTTTTGGAGTCTTTTGTGGAAATTCCAAAAAGTTACTTTGAGTTGCTTTGAAAAGAGAAACCCAAAAAGTTTCCACAATGAAATGTGGGATTGTTGTAATGAAGTGGCTGCAGCGGAATGCACAGCGCTGCCCGGACTTGTCTGCTCTGCTGTTTGTCTGCTCGGCATTCATTCTTTCTGGAATGGATTCACAGGATTCTGCTCCAAATAAGAATCCAAACAGAGGTGCGTCTGAAACTTGCACTCCCTGCAGAGTGTATGTGGGCAGCGGTGGAAATGCTAACACATTACAACACAAACTAGCAGCGAAGGTTTTGCTCTTGTCCCTCCTGTGGACAGAAATCCGAGAAGGAGACAGGAATGTGCATGGGCTTGGTTGTGGCTTCTTACAAAAGACATTTCCATACAGGTCTGTTCAGCTCACCCTCAGTCCTATTTGCACTCACAACTGTAAATCCTGCAGTCAGCAGCAACACACTGGGATACTAGGAAGCTGCAACTTTTCAAAAAAGCTGAAACGCGCATAAACAGGGCTCTTTAAAGGCTAAAGCACTGCTTGCTTTCAACGCAATGTTTCTTGTTTTTCTTGTAGTCAAAATTTTCCCCAAAGGTCCAGATCCTTTCTCTTGGGTGTAAAGGGAATCAATCCACCATCAGGCCTGTGTTTTTGCTCACCCTAGATGTCTTGGATGTATCTGATGTCTTTGTCCTATCAGTTTAATGTATTTACAATGAAGAAAATGATAAAAGATGTGGGGGTCTGTGATTGTTTGTCAGCAGAAGACATGTTTTATTGTTTGTTCACAGCATAAGCGCCACAACGCACTGTTCACATGGTTTTATACCCAGGCAAAATACAGAAGCTTCCATTTACATCTGCCAAGTCGGCAAACCATAAATTTGCTTCAATCCCAGATAACCAAAATATAATCTTCTAGAAGATCCAGAACGAAATCAGGACATACCATTGAATCTGATTAGACAAAGTTTTGCTCCAACTTGCTCTGCCTCGCTCTGCCTCCAATTTAGTTTGAATAATCCTCTTGAATTATAAACAGAGTAAACATGCTAGCAACAGATCTGTCTCTATTACAAATGGCCATAAGAGCAAATCAGTTCCTGCTTGCTTATCTTCAAATCGGCTTCTTCTGCATTCAGCAAACACTACGTGACGTGTGACATCAGTCCACTCCACCACTCGTAAATCAAACGGTACATTTACAACATGAAGATTTCTTTTTCAATGATACTGTCCAATTTAGTCTAAATTCATAGTTTTTACAAAATTCTTGTGAACTTTGATTCACCTGTTTAAAGTTTGTTCAATGGACAGGGCACAGCCAAACTTGAAAGTCAAAACACAGCTAAGTTTTGACTCT